TATTTTGGCTATCTCTTTATTGTATATAATTGCGCGCCGGAAATTCGATCCAGGCGCATCCACGGCTGTTATTTTACAATGGAGCACCAATGAAGCGGATTATAGTAGACAATAATAATTTGCGCCCGCGATAATTGATAAATATATGCCTTTTTTTCGATAACTTCGAAAATAAAACGATACTTTTCTCAAATTAATAAATTAGATGAAATTTCGTTGACAAATGTCCAGCCGCGGAGGTGCGAGAGGTGACTCGCGAACGCGTTCCACTGGCCCCGTTTTACCCTTCTTTAAATTAGTCGGTCAAAGAAGAAATGGAAAGAGACGGAAAATTTAAAGTGAACGTCGGTACGATGAAGGGATGACGAGGGAAATGACACAGCTTTACCTCGGAGAGAGGAGAAAAGGTCTCGCGATATAAAGGGCGAGGGCAGTAAGACAGCAATCTACAGCTCGGTCCACCGAGAGCTGTAACACCAGCGGAATCGAACTTGTAATAAGGTACGTCTCGCCCACTCACCAGAACTCGATTGCTCTCCGGGGACGACGCCACCGACTCTTGTCTTCCCTTCGCTTCCTCTCCTCCTCCTCCTCCTCCTCCTCCTTCTTTTCCTCCTCTTCCTCCTCCTCTTCCTTCTCCTCGATAACCTTTCCGTACTACGTATTTTCCAGACTCACGTAAAGGGAGGAAGTTTAGGAAGTTACAAGGCCACTTCGCGTTACATTTTCCCGTTATCGCCATTTCCTTAAGGTTACACCGGCGTGTCTTCGGAATTTCAATCTGCGTGCAAACCAAGATTCTCTGCCCTTTCTTCCATTCTCGGCGGAATTATTCTTTCTTTCGGGAGAGGATACCGATTCCATTTGTCAAAAGTAGATTGGTACCCGGGAAAAGTACGTTCATTTTTTACGTCTTATCTGCGCGCGCGAGTTCCATGTTTCGAAAAGTTATTGCAGCCAAATAAACCAACTGCAACCGATGAGAAATATTTGTAGCTGCGCAACTTTTCAGGTGAATTATTTGTGTAATAGTTTTCTCTCTCGCGATAGATCTTTTTTGTTTATTACTTACAACAAAAACGAGAATATTAAATAAATATAAAATTACATAGATAAGAGTTACGATTCTTTTTTGTGAAGCATATTATTGATAAAATTATTGATAAACGATAAAAACAAATTACAACTGAAAATGTCCACAAACAAAACTTTTATTCCATATTATATGCATTATAAATATAATATATTCAATATATGTATATTATATACATATGTATTAAATATGTTTAAATATTTTATATCTGCTCTATAGAGTACATGCAGTTTACTGTATTTGCGAGAACATCGAGAAAATCTCAGTTTATTAAGGAAAATGATAATTTCAGGAATCATTGGAGAAGGAAAAAAATGAGAATTTATCGTGCATAAAATCAGCTCGCGCGTAAACGGCAGTAAAATAACAAGCGTTTTGTATAATATTCGCTTATCTCTCGCGCTCAACGTTACTGGTAATGCACCGTATGATAATTATATTAATTTATATAGAATCAATATTAAACACATCCGGGCAATATATTTTTAATGAAGTAAATACGTGGATGCATAATGTGCCGCGCGCTGAATATTACATATCGCAGGAAATAGATACGCGTAATGCAACGATACACGTGAAACCCGCAAAACTGCATTGCGACCCGCGATAATTATTCGAGATAATGAGGGAAATTCGTGATTGCCAGTTTGCGAGGGTCTCACCGCGCTAAAAAAGGGGGGGGGGAGGTGAGCCATTAGTGAATACATTTAGGCGAACGAGGTTTAACTATAGTTTCTCCTGGAAGAAGAATGAATTTCAGCTGTTAAAGCTCAAGGATTAAGATGAGAAGACACGTTGTTAAACTTGATAAAACGTAAAAGGCTTGCCAATTAAAAAAAAATAAAATATTGAAAGAGGCGGGCAAATGCAAAGATTCGAAGACACTTCCGTTTGAGTGAAATGCTAACGAAGTCGGGAGAGAAGGAAACCTCACGTATTTTTCTCACGTAGTGATCGAAATGGAGAAATCTCGTTCTTGATCGGTGCCATTGTCGCTGACGGCGACGCGAGAATGCGCAACATCGAACGAGAGAGAGAGAGAGAGAGAGAGAGAGAAAGAGAGAGGGAGAGGGAGAGAAAGACTCAAACTGATTCCGGCCGACCGGAGAATACATCAATAGGTATAACGGCCGCGACAAACACCGCGGCATTAAGGAATAATGAAAGGACATTCACACTTCGCGGGAGGACAGGATGGAAAGAGGTGTAGGTAACGACGGATGGCTCCTCCGATGGCGGCGGTCTTATCTTACGCCATGATGCCTCTTGCATTTTCATTAAAAGCCCGGCCTGTTCTCTCTCCTAGCGTTCTCGTTCCCGCCGCCGCGCCGCGCCGCCGCTGCTGTCAACCCCCTCGTAAAAGGCGTACTCGTCCCTCGAAAAACAAAAGTCGCAACAAATGTCAGCTAAGACACTCGATTCCCTTGGCATTTTTCCGCGACTTCCTCGCCGCTGCGACGCGATTGTCGCGCGCGCGAATTTCATTAAAATTTTATTACACAGCTAGACCAGAGTACGCGGCACCCGGAAACGTGACAAGCGTTATTACTGCGTGCTTAACACATTTTGCGTCTAACCAACCATTCATCAGTAAGCTAAATCAATCGACCAAATATTAATCAGAATTTTACCGATATTTTTATTCATGGATGTGCCAATCAAAATGTTAAGCTCATATAATTATTTTAAATCAGTCGCTACCGTTTGCGATTTCATCATCTCATTTAACTTATTTTGGATCGTTTCATTGAACGATTTAAAACAATCGTGCGTAATAAACTATAAATCCCGACACTTCATAAAGTATCTCGTCTTATTCCGTCAGGGAAGGATACTTGCCAGATTTAATTAATTAGAGAATCTTAAAATGTAAAAGTTCTATACATATGTATCTAAAACACGCAGAAGATATGAAACGCGCACATTTGGAAAATGCAGCGTTTATTGAGTTGTACACACGAGAGTTCATACGATTACTCAAACGTTGTGTCGTCGGGAGAAGAATATCGCTCGCCGTTCTAATGCTGCGGACCATCGATAGTTGTTGTCGCGTGAGAGAGCGGGAAGGAGCGAGATCGTGAAGCAACGAAGGGGGTATAAGGGTAATCTCTATTGTTTCTCCTGTCCTATAAATCCTACTAGCGCTTCCTACGCCTCTCCAGAGCTCCGCCGCTCGCGCTTCAACCTGCATGTACAGAGCCATCCGCCTTCTCTCCCCCTCCCCTCTCCTCTGCCACTTTCTACCGCCACCCCCCTCGTCTCAGCAACGTGCTCCGTAAATCTCTGACCAGCTGTGCTTTACGACACGTACGCGGTTCTCGTAAAGATACAAGAGATCTTATTCGTTATTTGACTGACGTCGCGCGTTGGAGCCGCTTAAAAATCAATCTCATCATCGCTATGCTTTGACGAGCAAATCTCTTCGATGATCGACTTGTAACACGGTTACTTAGTATAATTAGTTCCAAGGAGGACTAATCTTATTTAGTTAACATAAATATTGTCATCGTAAATATATCAAAAATTTTATAATAGCGAAACATGCGAAAGAGAAACTTGCGGTTTAGTTTTTAAGCCTCCACACTTGCGAGTCATAATGAAATTTTACGTTCCTATGTTTTATTATATTATAACTATAATTTGCATATTGATCCAATGAATATGGCTTAATTGAAGCCGAAACGTCTGGATCCGATTTAAAAATAGAATTGTTTTGGCTATCAACAACTTGCCTTTGGCTCTTTTGCCCTTGATTGTCCATTGTTTTAATTTAATTTATAGAGCCTAAATCGTTATTTTAGTTATAAATATTGTATTTCTGAATCTGTACTTTTAATATTTTAGTTAAGAAATTGACAGTTTTTTACTTGACTTGTAACACGTACTTAATATAGTAGTAGTTCTAATTGGAGGACTAATCTTATTTAGTTAGCACAAATATTTTGTACTTCTAAATCTCCATTATAATCTCTATATTTTTAATATTTTAGTTAAGAAGTGGACAGTTTTTTTTACTCCAGGCTATTAGCTGTACAGTGCTGATAATAATTTATGATAATATTGTGCGATTAACTCATGTAATAATTATACCATAGCCACATAATATTAATTTTACATATAATTAATAATTTATTTGTATATAGCGTAACCACGTCGCGTGAATTAATCATATCGTTTAGTAGATGATTAGAATGATTTTTAAAAAATTTCATTTCGATTTGCGGTAAAGGGTAATAAACAACAATTGATAAATGATTATACCAGAAGAAGATATTAATCCTATAGGCATTTAAATCTACCTACTCATTCTATTTGCGGATATATATTAGATACTTACCGTTAATACGAAATGATTTGTCAAAAGCATTTGCTATTCGGTATGCATACAATATTCTCTCCCATTCGTCACACTGAGATGAAGTTTCCTGGAAATATCTTTTATATATGTATCGCACGACATTTTCATAACGGCGTTTACGATTCCTGAGGCTTTGACAGGGGTGCTTTGCGCCCCTAACATGCCAAGAGGGGAGGTTCACTATGAGGTCTTATATCAAATATAGGTTACTTCGATCGTCAGTAAGCCGCTTAATTTATGACAGCGGCTTCAGCAAATAAGATGCTTTACTAAAGCTGCGCGTTTACCATACTCCTTATCCGGCAATATAACTCTAATTTGATCTCATCGTGAAACCGCGAACAATAAAGCCGCAAGCTCGAATTTAATTACAGCTTTTTACAATGAGCTGATCAATATAAAAAATAATTCAACGGAGATATATAAATTGACGAGTGCTAATAAGCGGTGTATAAATTAAATGAGATCGGCGGAATAATTCAAAACGTAATATTATACAAATTAAACTATCCAATCTAATTTTCACCTAACGACTTTAATTAGATTATATTGTAAATTATTTATTTTATTAAAATAATCTTTCTCTCTCTTACCAAGTCTCTTTTCACGTTTCAGATCGAAGATGCTATGCTGATGTTCGACAAGCAAACTAACAGGCATAGAGGTAAGTACCTTTTTATTCCTTCTTTAATGTCGCACACGTGATTACGAGAAAAATTGTCGCTGCAATTTTGCGGCGTGCAAATGTGTCAGAAATATATTCGAAACTATTCTGTTTAACGAGTCAATAATGTCGCCATTCCGCCGGCGAGGTAATTAACGAGCCGAGTTGAAGCTATAATTAGTAATCACGGTAAATCGCGAGCCGCGGTAAATACGGGGGAAGATAAATAACATAAATTTCGGGATATGTGCTGCCTACACAAATCGTGACGGTATTTTGCGAATTCATGGTACGCGGATCGATAGTCGCATAGAAGAACTTATAGCAAGGCATGAAGGAACCCGTGATTCAGGGAACGGAATAAAAAATAAAGGACACGTTAAGAAAAATAATCCTTACTGCGTTTAAAACCTCAAGATATTAAACGTTGCGCTATTTCGCACCCGCACACGTATATAGTTTTTCTGTACGCGCGCGATTTCATAAAAGTTTCTTACATCTAACGAAATGATTGATGGTCATAAATCTTGTTTTCCATTACTTGCAATTAATTTTTGAAACTGTGTATATAACTCTATATTTTTGTGTGGAAGATGAAAGGTTTGTTTAATTTAGCACGAGAAAAGCACAGTGCTAATAATTTGTAATAAAATATTTTCCTATTGTTACATGTGCGCGCGCGCGTGCGCGTGTGTAAAAATAATTGATGGAAAACAAAAGTCGTTTCCAGAAGGATTAATTTTTAATCAATCATCCAATAAGTTTCACAATTTATTAATTTGTTAATGCCGATTCAATCGATTGAAGTCATTTTCATTATAGGGATGTATTCTTATACAATAAACATCACGAAATTCTAATTACATTAACAATTCATTTAACGATCAATTCATTCTTCATTCTTCATTAGTCAATTTAGTCTTCATTCTTTACTCTTCAGTCTTTAAATTCTTCACTCTTTTCCTTATTTATATTCCTCACATTTTTACCAAAATTTGATGTAAAATTGGACAGTCATCAAGACTAAGAGCCTTCGACTTCAAATAAAATGTACGCGTCTAAGAAATTTTTACGCGGCACTTTGCTAACGCGGTTGGGATGGAAGAGGAGGAAAGGGAGGACGGGGGAGGGAGATGGAAACGTTATTGAGATCGCGCGAGGAGCGCATGCCCAATTGAAAATCGACTGGGCAGGGAAGAAGGGTGGAGAGATCGAGAGGTCGCGATGAATGAAATATCGCGGCAGCCGCGATAATATATAGGGCAGCTCGACTCTCAGCCGTTCTCCGCTGTCGAGAGCATAGCGGGAGTTTGCGATCGGCACAAGTCTGGATCCATTCACGTCGCCGCTCTAATAGGGTCGATAATCGTCAGCGATCGTGGTACCCCACCTCGCCGATAATCGGAGAGGGGCAAGAGGGAGTCCCTCTCTCTCTCCCTCTCTCTCTCTCTCTCTCTCTTTCTACCTACTATCTATCTTTTTTATCGATATCTACCACCTTTATAGCTGTCGTTTCTAGAGCGGAGGCGAGCGTCTGCTCGGGCCCCGATGATAGATTCTAATATCGCTTATGAAAAATAGGGGCAAATGGGATATGAGCTGGCTCCCTTCAGTGCCACAGGGGGTTCCACCTATCCCCGACTGTGAGTTGCCGAAGAGAGGCCGGGAGGGGCAAAGACGCGCTGAAGGTGCGTCGCGCATCGCGCGCGAACGACGTGGTAGGAGTGTTAGCTGAAATAGCGACGCCGGTGGATGAAGGACGGAGGAAGAAGGGTGAATGGAAGTGGAAGTGAGATAGGGGGGGCTCTTTCAAAGCCGCACGTAATCTCTCTCGTGATGACATCCAATACCGTTCCCCGTACGACGAGAGTCTGCAAACCTCAGACCTCTAGCTCGAGCTCGAGCTGCTATATATACCGTTTCTATCGCCGTCGTCGCTGTTGCTGCTGCTGTTGCTGTTGCTGCTATTACTGCTGCTGCTGCTGCTGCTGTTCACCGGTAGATTTCGCGATATGGTACTTCCGTACTCGGTCCCTGACCCCTAAGGAGATCATTTTCAGATTCTCCGGTAGACATACCGTGAGAAATTTCAAACGTAATACGCGCGGGAGCGACGAGCGATATTTATTACGCCGCACTTGATACTTTCGATCGGCCAGCCACGCGCTCTCGTGAGCGGAAACTCAGCATATGTATATATACACGTACATATATCTTCATGTTTATCAGAACATGTTCTGAAGACGCCTTACTTATAGGTATTTCGGCCATCTTTCGATTTCGGACTGTAAATTTTATCAGCAATAACGTATTTAACGATCTTACGATTTGTACGATTATATGAAACTATAATTGTGCGCTACATATTTCATAACGAATAAAATAAGTTCCTGAAATAAAGATTAATATATGCTGAGTTCGTTATAAGAGATTGATGCTCCTAATTTCTTGAAGAGTATAGATGGATGTAATATAATTTTTTAATGTAATTTTTAAACTGTGTAAACATATTGATGCAAGCTTGTATTTGAATAATATTGATCCGAATAATATTTAACAAGAGCTTCTTCATTACAGCTTTTTGAGAAAAGTCTAATTATTAATCTAATTACATATAACTTTACAATATCGATAATCACCTTCTTGCGATATTTATCTAGTTTTAAATTCGCTCCTCAGTGATTGTAATGCTTTCTTCGAGTACACTCGATTTCGATCTGCGTCCGATCGGCGTGGCGCGGCGCGTCTTCTCGAACGTCGCCATCGAATTACAAGGAGATCCTCAGACAATCTTCCGGGAGGTCTCTTTACGCTCAAATCCCCGAAGAGGCAGTCGGCTAGCGGCCGTCTTACCCCTCTGCCACCCGTCCCCCTACCACGTTGTGGAAGGAGAAAAGAGAACTCCGCCGAGAACAGCCCGGCAAGCGTTTCCGGACAATTTCGAGTCCCGATGGCTCCCGCAGCGAGCTATGATTTCCACGTGGATGGGCAGGCTGCGATTGCAGCAAAGCGAGCTTTCTCTCCCGTTCTTCTCCTTCTCTCTCTCTCTCTTACCGCGACGGGGAGAGACGCGTCTATAGCTTGGAGCGCGATTATCCAAGCTTCGCTGGCCAAAGGATTTTCCCTCCGCGGGACTCTTCTTCCCTCTCCCGCCCTCTCGCGCGAAGTCTACGTTTGCGAGAGGCGGTAAGGAGGTACCGGGCGCGTGTGTTCGTGCACGTGGCCTACACGTGTGAACTTGTACACACATCTTCCCCGCATGACGTTGAACATACGCCGATTCACACGGGATGCTCATAAGTTGTGATCATATTGCCTAGCGAGAGTATGTTCATACAGCTTCGACGTGGGGATATTCTGTGCGCGCGCACGTGTGTGTGTGTGTGTGTGTGTGTTATACGTATGTGTGTACACTGACCTGTATGTTCTTACTTGTTCGACGACAAGTCGGTCCTTCTGTCAGCCAGCGACGGTCCCCCTAAAAGGAGGACTCGCTTAGCCATGTATGAACACACGTCAAAGGGACGCTCTACTGTCGATCGTTTATTGGATCGTGTGCTCGCGTGCGCTTTGACGGTGGATTACCCGCGTTTGGCCTGTCGTCGTTTAAACGTCTCCGCCGGACGTCGCTTATGGAAATCGGAATGTCTTCCACGAACTAGAGGCAAAGGGACGGACTCTTGGAATATGTTGAGAAAGACTGCCGTTTCGTGAACCGGTGGAAACGGTCGAGCGGTCGCGCACGATTCCCGTCGTCGATAGACGATACGTCGTTTAACTTCTAACTAGACGGACTTTAACTCGCGAAAGAAAACTCGAACTATTCTAGGACTGTCCGGAAAATCTTGACTCACTTTACTATGTAAGCAAAGTGATTCTAACACGACAATCCTCTCCAAGTGTGCTTTCAAAATTATAAATATGTGTTATAAATTTTTGTCAATTCTCCAGAAGAACAAAATTAATAACTGTATATTACATTTTCCTAATATACTTACTTTTTTTTGTTACAAAATTTATTTTTCTGGCATTAAAGGAAATAACATTTCTCAACGATCCCTTGACAGTTCTCTCGTAATCACTGATTGCTCGTATGTTTAACCAGGCATTCTCGGTTTTGTGTCGAATTAGCATAAGAATCGCAGCTAACCCTGATTACACGCCGACGTGATCTTCGGCGAAGGTGGAAGGGAAAGAGAGACGGAGAGACGGAGGGGGTAAGAGAGATAAACAGCGAACGAGTCTCGCGTCATCGTAGTCCGAAGTTGGCCAAGTCCGCAATCTGCCGTTCCTGACGGCGTGCTCGAATAGATGCAATTACCCTAGCCGCGTTTCCTCTCCAGCGAGCGAGGAGAATTTCCGGGTGAAGTCTCAAGAGCGGCAAGTTCGCCAGTCAGCTAGCTGGGGCGGATGTGTGTTATGCCAGTTTGATGTAATCCGGCATCAGACGGTCCGGAACTCGGCTCTCTCTCCCTTTCCTCCCCCCTCTCTCTTTCTCCCTCTCTCTCTCTCTTTCTCTCTTTCTCTTTCTCTCATATCGCGCGCGTTTCTCGGGAGGATGAAGCGACTTGCGTGGCACGCGCGACGAATCTGACCAACTTCGATGCGTATGAATCCATCTCGACTATGCTTCGAATAGTTGCTTTCCACCTCCGTGGAAAGTTCCAGAGCGGTCCGAGATAGTTTCCCTCGACTGTTTCTACTAGCGCGCTCCGGCCGTTCTCGGTTGCGGAAGGAGAAGGGACACTATGTACGAGAACATGTAAGATCATGCCGTGCCATTCATGAGAGACGAGCCTTCAGGAGCAAACGCTCCGTGCGGAAAGACTGAATTGATCTCGATGGAAGTTCTGTCGCTTTCTGATTAGAGAAACGGAATGCATGTAATAACGCGCGTGCTTAACCTTTCATGTGCCGAATATTGCACTCCTGCGGAGCCACCACGACGGATATTTTGCTTGCAAAGGAAATTAAATTTCGTATTATTACATGTAACATTT